TTTTTAAGGATTGGAGTATGTCATTGGATCTTGTGGGTCATCGGAAAGCGGTTACTGTGATACGAGCATGCCCACGACTACTGCATTATACCACACACAAGGTGAGTTGCTTAATGACAGTAATAATTATTATTAACAGTAAGAATAATGCGGGGTCAGGAATTTAGCATAACACACGTTTTTGTACTTTAAATAATTTATATAATATTTTGATTTTCCATTTCTCTTCATTAAATATCGTTTTTTGATCAGTCTTCATTAATTATTGCTTCATCTTGTGATGTAACTTTGTTGTTCTATAGCATTAAATGATAACTATATTCTTTCAGTTCATCGTAAATGTATAATATTGGTATGATTTTAATAATTGTAAAATGCGGAACAGTCATGTTACCGTTCCTGTTTGCTTCATTTCTTGAAACTATTAAGTGAATAATGAATAATGTGATAGTTACAACAAGAGGATTTGTAAGATAAATAGACGTGATAGTTCATTTGAAGTCGACAAACAAAATGACTGATCGGAAGTGTTGTTCAGTATCATTTTGCATCGTTTCATTGNCTAAATTCACTCATCATCTATCTTATGCATTATCTGTTCGTGCAACGAATTAATCAATTCATTCGACTATTATTTTGACGATGTTTCGGACCGATTCATTGCAGGGTACCCAATTGAAAGTGACATGTTTTGCGGTCGGTAGTCGTGATAAAGCGTTGAGCGTGTGGCTGATACCGCACATCGATCGACCGATTGTCGTCCTCAATCGACTCTTCAAACATTCAATTCTTGATTTTTCGTGGTTATTCGTTTGTGTTTCTTTTGGTCATGTTAGATTAGGTGTTTATCTTCATCGGAACATTAATATCTTGAATCATGTCAGCATGTAATCTGCGGATTTAATCACAATCATGAATAGACATTCGTACTGCATTCAGTCATGTTGATTTAGGAATGGTCTTCATTTAACGATTTGCTCGATGGACGGGTCAGTGAAGTCGATTCTCTTCAATGCAAATGAAGTGGGTCGTTTGATGAGCGATTTGGAAATGGTCATTCCGTTTGCATTATTGTTATTATTCATTGACCTTTATTTCATTATATCTTTTGGAAAAATTACTCTTGTA